AATTCATCATTATTTTCTCGTTGGCGATGTTCGCTTTAGTTTTTCCTCTAATGAAAGGGTTCCGCTCGTTCTCCGTGCTTTTCCCCCTTTTTTTTTTTCTTTTGATGTATTGGCAAGTCAAGTAGTAAAAACATCGAATAAAACAAAATGCTGTAGTGGTTACCACTGGCTGGCTGGCATTAGCAGTTGGCAGTTAGCTTAGCGGTTCTTCCGCCTGATCTGTGTTTCTGATTCCCCATTGTATTGCCATTGCAGGCCCAAGAAGGGGCGTGGCGAGACCCCAATTAAGCGTTAACTGATTACAATTTTAACGGCGAACCAAAGCCCGCCAGCCAAGATTGCTGAGCTAAAGATTTCGGCTCATTAGCCGGGCTTAAATATATAAGGAAATTACTGCAATTGGCGGGCAATAGGCAGATTGGCAGGAATTGGCCAATGCAAATGCCAGTTCCAGTGCCAGCGGAATGCCAGCGATAAGCGGCCAGAAAATCCGCCGAAAAGGAGCCACAAATTTGCGAGCAGCAAATTTAGATCAATAAAGAACACGCAGAGTGCAGGCCCAACCCAAAGAAGGCGATCGAACAATGGCCAAAAACAACTGCCGGCTGCTGACCCCAACTCCCTGCGAAAGTGTGGGTGCCTGTATGTGTTGGCCAGCCCCGCACCCACCGTCTATGTGTGTGTGTGTGTGTTAGCCCATTATGGCGCCTAACATACGAATGGCGAGTGGAGGGGCAGGGGAACCGGCACTGCTCTCTCTGACATTCAGAATGATTGCATCACGAAGTACAAATTTAAACAGCGATTACCCCGCCCCCGAAACTTCAGCCACGGATGCTGTCCATTCTTCAGAAGTGCAGAGAAAGAAATAAATATTTTCTCGCCGTTCGAAAGCCATATACAAAAATGCAATGCTTTGGAAAAATAAAGCTTGCAGTTAGAATACCTAATTTAAAAAAAAACTGTCGTGATTTTCTTAATTTTCAAGAAACATCATAAAAAAATGTTGTAAAACAAGAATGGAAAGCTAACTTCGGGCGGAGCCGAAGTTGATATACCCTTGCAGAATATTCTGTAAATTATATTCTCCAAAATTATTTATATGATGCATTCTTAACACTCATAAAAATCCCAACTTCCTAACTTTAAAAACACCAAAGTTATGGCATTTCCAATCGTTCAGTTATATGGCAGCTATAGAATATAGTCGGCCGATCCTTATGAAATTTGGTATGTCGGATTGATTGGCCAAAAATAAAACCCATAGAAAATTCCAACTTCCTAACTTTACAAACACCAAGGTTATGGCATTTCCGATCAATCAGTTATATGGCGGCTATAGGATATAGCCGGCCGATCCTTATGAAATTTGGTAGGTCGGATTAAGTGGCCAAATATAAAAGCCATAGAAAATCCCAACTTGCTATCCTTACAAACACCAAAGTTATGGCATTTCCGATCAATCAGTTATATGACAGCTATAGGATATAGTCGGCCGATCCTTATGAAATTTGGTAGGTCGGATTGATTGGCCAAATATAAAACTCATAGAAAATCCCAACTTTCTAACTTTACAAACAACAAAGTTATGGCATTTCCGATCAATCAGTTATATGGCAGCTATAGGATATAGTCGGCCGATCCCGGCCGTTCCGACTTATATACTGCGTGCAAAGGAAAGAAGGGTGTGTGCAAAGTTTCAATTCGATATCTTTAAAACTGAGAGACTAGTTCGCGTAGAAACAGACAGACGGACAGACAGACGGACAGACAGACGGACAGACAGACGGACAGACAGACGGACAGACAGACGGACAGACGGACAGACGGACAGACGGACAGACGGACATGGCTATATCAACTCAGGAGGTGATCCTGATCAAGAATATATATACTTTATAGGGTCGGAGATGTCTCCTTCACTGCGTTGCACACTTTTGACCAAAATTATAATACCCTCTGCAAGGGTATAAAAATTTTAACGATATTTTAATCATGAAAAACTATAGTTCTTCGACTAAAATGTAATATTTTTTTTAAAACTTGTCAATATCAAATGTAAGCTAGCTAAAGCTTAAGTGCCAAACATAGGATTAGGATTTTTTAATTTATTTAAACTTATTAAACTTACGTTGTACTACCTTTTGTAAATAATTACAACTATACCGTTTTTGTATAGTTTTTTTTTAAATAGAAAATAATTAATCCAAAAATTATCTGAAGCACTTTGCTAAGGTAAAGTCTTTCTTGCAAATTCAAAGGGTACACTTAAGGATTTGTAATAAATGTAAAAAGGAACTAATCCCTCTTGTGTATTTTTGAATAAAGCAAAACTATCAAACTAAAAATACAAAAAAAAGGTGGATTTGTCTAATATAAACAATTTTTTCTAAAAAAAAGTTAATACAAATCGAATATATTTACAGAAGTATGAAAGTTTTTTTCCGTGTAAGTGGAGCTATAAAGAAGAAAGGGGGAGTTGGTGGGCTGGCAATTTCTATAAACGCTGCTAAATGCATGAACTGCGCAGAAAAAGGAAGGGAAAGGCAATGGGAAAAAGAATGCCGACTATGATTAGGCCGCATGAAAATTATAAGTTTTCTTTATGTCGCTTTAATTGATGCTGCTCCGGATGCGGGAACTCAGAGCTTTTCGCTCAGCTCGTTAGCAACATGCTGCCAGATGCAAAGATACACACACACAGCAACTCCAGATGCAAATTGCATGTGCAAATATTGTGATGTCCAAAGCCGCGACTTTATGATTTATTCGCTATAATTATATGCAAATCGCACAAATCGTGCGGCTAACGTGCAATTTAATGCGATTGTGCTGTAAGTGCCGCCAACGGACAGCAATCGCTCCTCATTTGCCACCTCCGCTCCATTTCATCGCATCAAATCCCATACCATCCCATCCCGCCCCCCGTTAATGGCCAACTGCCCCGCCGTCAACATGCAAATTAACGAATTGCAGCCAAAGTCAGCTGCGAGTTGCTCTTGTGGTCGCCGCACCAGCAACATGTTGCCGCTAATTGAGGCAACACTGCAGCGACAACTTGCCATATTTCCCTGCGGTTTCTGTCGCCAGCTGCGGTCTGGGGTGCGGGGGTGTTTGGGTAATTGGCCAAGTAATTGAGGCAAATTGGGTAGAATAGTTGCGGAAATGCGAACCATAAGTGTGCTTTCTTGGGAATCAGATCGATGGGTGGAATTCGTTCTTAGTAATCAAATTCTTGAGGAGTTTTGGCCGGTATGAAGAAAAACACATTCTACTTAATTAATGCACTTTATAAAATTTTATATTCGACCCGGTTCAACAAAATATTAAGGCTTAAATAAGCACAACTTGAGAAGAGGACATAAAAAATGTTTACAATTTTTAATCACATGCTTAAGCATACACAATTTTGTACATCCCTAGTTTTTCAAACATTAAAGTCGAATAGAAACTTTTCTAATTTTTTTTTATTTTTGTGGCAATAAAATCTTGCACGAATTCTAAATGTTGACGTAATAAAGTATTATGAGTTCGTTTTGAATAAGATGAGTCACACAAAAAAGATAAGCCAAGCATTAAATAATCACAAAATCTTTATGTTAGTACTCTGATTTATATGATATAATTACAAATAATTATATCATTCAAACTCAATTTGGAAAATTATTCAATTCCCTTTCTAACCCTTATAAGAATAAATTATGTAACTATACCGATTAGATTAATCAATTGCTTAAGTATGTGATGGCTTAAAAATATCGATGTGTAGGTACTTATTGCTTAATGCCCAACATCCGTAAAATAAAATTCTTAGGCAGCTTTGCTATTTCCTATGTGGATTGTTATTGTTTAACTAATTAAAGCCCTTGCGTTGACAGTTGTGAGTGGTTTTACAACTGATCTGGGGAAATGCCCCTGAATGCAGCTGGCCGCTCCGAACGGAAACCACCGCCATTCATACGGCTAGATCGAATCGGACTGGAGACACATTCGAAACCCCTGCGATAAGTCTGAGACCAGCCTTTGTTTGATCGGGCAAAACACTAGACGTCATATCAGCTAGAGCAAACACACGGGCGAGAGTTGAATGGAAGTGGCAGTGGAAGTGCATGTGGAGTGAACCGAACCCACCTGGTGCAATTAACTCGACTGCCTCCCAACACTCCACTTATCGATTGCATTCTTGCCTGGTACTCGTACTCGCACTCGTTCCCGTACCCGTACTCGTATTCATATCAGCGATGCACTCCGCCTGTGCCCCAATTTCCGAGGGCGGAGGAGGGGGCGTGGCATCGCACTCTAATTGGAGTAAATTATGTTTACACATTCGGCCGCCTGCAATTGGGTCACCGTAAACCAGATTGGGGAAGAATCGGGGGGAATGGGGGAAAAGTGCTGATATGAAATGCATTTCGTGTGCGAGTTTACATAATTAGGAATGCAGAGAAACCGAAGCTGTGTGGTCTTATCTGGGGTATTCTCTCCCGCCACCGGGGAATACTTAATTAGTTCTCGCGGTCATATTTATGGGTCGGGTATTTGAAATGGAAAAGTTATCTAATGGGCGGCAGTTTGGAAATGTCAGCAGGAAACGCAGGAGTTATGAGACGATGTAAAGTCCGAGATAGTGTATTTATAAATAGACGGAAAACTAAACAGGTTTCTTTCGCCGAATCAACGAATCACCGAACGGTGAGTCACAGTCAGAGCAAATGGAAACTGCGGCTAGAATGGCAATCGAGGAAAAGTAGTGCCTGAGTACCCACTCAGCCATATACTATATGGTGTGTTTTCCTTTGTCTAATTGTAATCGGAATCGGGCTTTTCCCAGTTCGCAAAGAGAGGCTTCCCTGCAAGCAACAAAGGAGAACAGAACAGAAAGCCCAGTCAGTGGCAATGCGATGCGATTTGATTATTGACTGCTTCTCCGGAGCATTGCCAAGTTCTGGACCGGTTCTCTCTCATCCTAAAGCCGTATAGCCTGGCTCTGCTCTGCTGCTGATGATTGGTTTCGCAACGATCAGTTTTGTAGCGCAGCTGAAAACGAGCTGATCGGCGGATCGGAAGAATAAATTCATTTAAATAAGTTTTCAGCAAGAAGAGAAACAGTGGAGAAAAATGGCGAGCAAAGCCAGTGAGTTGTGGATATCACTAACGCCCGAGCTGTTCTTAAAATTGTTTCTTCCAGTGATCCTGCTCCTATTAACGGGACACCTTCTGGTTGCCCAGACCTTCGCGCAACAGGACTATAATGCCTGGCAACGAACCGCCGGTCAACCACCCCAACTGGGCGTCCGCTCCCTGCCAAGCAACTCCAACTGGGGGCAACCGGCCAACCCACAACCCCTGAACAATGTGGAGGAGGTGAACCTCAGTCCGCGACCGACGACCACCCCCCCACCCAATCGTCCGCCACCCTCGTACAGCTACATGGACCGCTTCAGCGCCAAGCTCTTCCAGAAAATCGTGAGGCCGCACAGGCAGGACAACGTCGTCTTCTCACCCTTCTCCGTCCACGCCCTGCTGGGCATGATCTATGCGGCATCGGCCGGCAAGACTAAGCGCGAAGTGCAGGAGGTCGGCGAGTTCGGCGAGAATCAGATTGATGTGGCCCTGGACTTCGAGCGGCTGGTCAAGTTCAAGGAACATCTGCAGGGTGCCGAGCTGACAATGGCGATGAGGGTCTTCTACAACCAGCAACTGGGTGGCATCAATCCCAGCTACGATGAGTTCGCTAAGTTCTACTACGACGCCGGCACGCAGCCCGTGAACATGGATAACGGCCAGGACACGTCTTCCCTGATCAACGCCTGGGTGGCGGACAGAACTCACAACAAGATCCAGAACTTGGTCCGTGCCAATGATATTAATTCCCAGATGCAGGCCCTGTTGGTGAACGCCGTGTATTTCATGGGCCGCTGGGAGCACGAGTTCTCCACCCGAGACACACAGCCAGCCGAATTCCGACACACCGACGGTACAGTTTCCCAGGTGGCTATGATGTTCAATGACGATGTCTTCGGCCTGGCCGATCTGCCCGAGCTGAACGCCACCGCCCTGGAACTGTCCTACAAGAACAGTGCCACCAGCATGCTGATCCTGTTGCCCAATAGGATCAATGGACTGGCCGACCTTGAGCAAAAGTTGGCCCAGCCGCGGTTCGATCTCAACAAGATCGCCCACCGCCTTCGCCGCCAGACGGTCTCAGTGCGCCTGCCTAAGTTCCGGATCGAGTTCGAGCAGGACATGACCGAGCCCCTGAAGGAGCTGGGCATCCGCCAGATGTTCACTCCCAACTCGCAGGTGATCAAGCTGCTCGATAAGCCGGTGCGCGTGGAGAAGATCCTGCAGAAGGCCTACATCGATGTGGGCGAGGGCGGAACCGAGGCCTCGGCGGCTTCCTGTAAGATATCATCTTCTTTCCTCCCCGAAATCCATAACTAATCATTCTCTGCTTTAGATGCCAAGTTTGTGCCCCTGTCGCTGCCAGTCAGGTCGCAGGAGTTCGTCGCCAACAGGCCATTCGTCTTCGCCATCCGCGCCCCCAACTCAGTGCTCTTTGTGGGTCACGTGGAGAGGCCAACGCCGATGACCGCCAGAAACGAGCCAATAGCCGATGCCTTCAACAGGCAATAGAAGGCTTTGCCTCCAAAGAGAGCCCTGCGTCGATGCATTTGTATGAAAAGAACAATAAAGTCAAAACATGTATTTATGGAAAACCCCGAACCTTGATAACCTCGCGCTGCGTTGATAAGACTAATGCGACCTCGATCACCCATTGCGATTCAGATTCTGATGCGGAGCAGCATCTACTTGCATGCCTTTTTTCCCCAGTTGTTTGCCGAGGCTGCCGGCTATTCTGGATTCCCAGAGATTGGTTTTTGCTCGCTTCTGTAAGTTGGCAAACCCGTTTGGAAACCACCGCCAACCTGCTGCCTTCCCCGCATCCACGACCGTAAATCCAAGGGGAATTTCTCAATCGTTTTTCAAAGCGAGCGAAACTTCCTCATGCGCACTAGATCTGACTTTAGAACGCAGGGGAGAGAATGCTGGGAAAACCAATACGCGGGAGGAGATGAGTTATTGAAATACCCGCTGAAAGCTGGGCATAATTAATAGCGTCCATTCAAGGTTGCATACACTCAAATATATAGCTTAGAACTTTAAAATATCATGGGTTTTAGAACTTTCGGTTCAGGGACCCAGGTCTTGAAAATTTTTTTATATCTAAATTATTAATGATTGTGGAAAAAAAGTATTATATTAGCCAACTTTCTTAGCGCTAAATTATATAAATTGAACTTTATTATTTGGTTGATGGATTTCCAGAGTTTTAAGAAATTTGTGATTATTATAATCACTGGGAATTTAATTTCATTTAAATTTATATTTTAGCACTTCTAGTTAAAAATTATTAAAGTCAGAACTTTGTATGTTATAACGGATTAAAAAAGAAATATCAAGTTTTTTCGAAAATGAAATAATGAATGAATCGATTTTGATATAATTACTCTTGAACAGCGAGTTAAAATATTTAACAACTTATTATTTTTTTATTTTTTGTATATATTTCTGCAGTTGTAAATATTTTGAGATAAACAGTTAAACTCTTTCAGTGCTTGTGTTGCAGTGTCGACTCGGCACACTTCACTGAGCATTCGAACTTGAAAATTCCCCAAGACAAGACAACTGGATAGAGTGCCCCGGATAGAATCCCTCTCAACAAATCTCTCAGAGAATTTCGGAACCCTCTGCCCCTCAGACTGCCCCGTATCACCAGCGACCTTCAGCGCCGAGCTTTGGCCTGGTAGCTCTCCAATCAATGAGCTCAATGTCTCAATATACTTTTAATTTCCATGAATGAGCGCGTAGCTCAGTTGTGTGTAAGCCACTGGATCATTAGCATTACTCGAAGCTTGGCATTTCCCAAAAACATGAACTACGGAGCACTACTCTTCGCCCTGTTTGTGGCCCTGACTATAGTCACAGTCCCACCGTTTCCAGTCGGCGCTGAGCTCTCGGCCAGATCGGCTGCCACTGGCTCAAATCATCGCTTTGGCCTGCGTCTTACCACTAAGCTGGGATTGAGCCAGCCAGACGCAAATGTGGTGGTTTCCCCCTTGCTGATACAGGCGGCCCTCAGTCTTCTGTACGCGGGAAGCTCTCCGGAATCGGGAAGGGACCTTCGTCATGCTCTGGAGCTGACCCACGCAAGTAGTCCAAAGGAAGCGGTCCAGGACATTCAGGCTCTTCTCTCGGACCTCAAACAGTCCGCCGCTGTTGGCTGTCGCTTGCGGCTGCTCAGTGACTTTTACGCCCAGCAGCGCTTCACCTTCAACTTCCGCGATGAGTTCGCGGCCTTGGCCTCCCAAATGGGAGTAGGCTGCCACCGTTTGAGCTGGGAAAGTGCTTCGAACGCGGCCCAGGACATCAACTACGGCTTCCTCAGCCGCAGCAACTTCAGTTTGGGGGAGCTCGTGAGTGCCTCCCAACTCGAATTGCTGGCCGAGCACAACACGCCCTTTTTACACGTCTCGGCACTGACCTTCCGAGCTCCTTGGGCGCAATCCTTCGACCCGGCTGAGACGCAGAGCATCAACTTCTTGGCCGGAGGAAGTCGTCCCAGACTGGTGGATGCCATGTTTCGCCTGCGACGTTACAGGTACGCCGAGGTGCCAGCTCTGGATGCCCAACTGATAGAGGTGCCATTCGCCACTGCCGATCTGAGGATGCTCATTGTGTACCCGAATCGGGCGGATGGACTGGCCCAATTGGAGCGGAAGTTGGCGCAGTCCGACCTCCAGCAGCTAAGGACACAGCTCGAGGAGCACAAGGTGGCCCTCACCCTGCCAAAGTTCAAAATTCTGGTCCACTCTACACTGACAGAAGTACTCAAAGAGGTAAGTTGATTAGTACAAAGCTTTCATTCATTATATGTTTTGGCTTACTCTTGGATTAACTACTGAAAACAATGAATTTGAGTCCTCAAAGGTTTAATCCCATTCATAACTATTTAACAACATACAAGAAAGGAAAGCTTACATCGGGCGGAGCCGAAGTTGATATACCCTTGATATGGCAGCTATAGGATATAGTCGGCCGATCCTTATGAAATTTGATAGGTCGGATTGATTGTCCAAAAATAAAAGCCATAGAAAATCCCAACTTCCTAACTTAACAAACACCAAAGTTATGGCATATCCGATCAATCAGTTATATGGCAGCTATAGGATAGAGTCGGCCGATCCTTATGAAATTTGGTAGGTCGGACTGATTGGCCAAATATAAAAGCCATAGAAAATCCCAGCTTTCTAACTTTAAAAACAACAAAATTATGGCATTTCCGATCAATCAGTTATGTGGCAGCTATAGAATATAGCCGGCCGATCCCGCCCGTTCTGACATATATACTGCGTGCAAAGGAAAGAAGGGTGTGTGCAAAGTTTGAACTCGATAGCTTTAAAACTGAGAGACTAGTTTGCGTATAAACAGACAGACGGACAGACGGACAGACGGACATGGCTATATCAACTCAGGAGGTGATCCTGATCAAGAATATATATACTTTATAGGGTCGGAGATGTCTCCTTCACTGCGTTGCACACTTTTGACCAAAATTATAATACCCTCTGCAAGGGTATAAAAATTACTACCTGCCTTTTGTTTTACCAAATTACTTAACACAAAAATTACTCTATCATCAAGATTTATAAATATCTAAGTAAGTCTTAGTTGGATGCCGTAGAATTTTGTCTTTTTAAAGGTTGCAAAATACTACTAAATGAGGTTCTCGTTAAATACAATTAATTGTGATATTAGTTCTGAAATTCCTAATATTCCTAATATTTATAAAGATAGTTATACAGAAAAGTAAACTACTGACCACCAAAAATTAGTGGTGATTGAAAACTGTCAATTGATTAGATGTGAAACTCTACCTCAACTTACAAAAATATTTCTTGCAGTTGGGGCTGGCGAAGCTATTCACATCGGAGATCCAGCTGAGCGAGGTCTTCAGCTCCATGCTGTCCAGTTCGGCTCCTCCGTTGGGAGCAGTGGTGCAGAGCAGCCTTTTGGAGCTGCAGGAGGAAGGCGGAGACGCGGGAGGATCGTTTTGTAAGTGATCGTGACACTGTGTGGCCAAGAAGCCCTGTAACCCGCTGTTCTTCTAGCCTTCGGGGATCTATTCCGACGAGCCCTGCCCCTGGTCATCAATCATCCGTTCTTCTACGCCATCGGCAATGACAAGACCCTGCTGCTGGCCGGCCACATCGTCGACATCTGATTCTCTCTGCTGCTCACTTAGTATTCGATTCCAATGCTAACACTAACTGGGGTTATCGCCTTATCATCTTCGCTCAAATCATTGAAAAATAAACAGAATCATCCGTGGCAAGCCAAAGGTGACAAATGATTTGTAAACACACGCGATCTGTTTTTCGGGGGCCGAGAGGTATGCCGATGTATCGCTCGAATCGTTTTAGCGTATAAATCCAACTTGGAACAGCCTCTAAAGTCGCTCGGCGATCGCCGCGATTTCAGTTCACATTCCGACGAGCTCGGAGAAGTCTCAAGTGCGAATCAAGCGGAGCAGGAGACGCCCATCAACAATTTATGTGACGACCATGGCTGTCATCATCAGCTGCCTATTACGTAAGCCCCAATTAAACGATCTGTTTTGTGCACAGCGAGAAAGCTTTGTCGAAATTGGTAGACGAAAATGCTAGTGTTTTAAATAAGCATTAAAAAAAAAACATTTGATTATAGGATACAGATTAAAAAGTTACTTTCAAACAACATGTTTTCAATTTGAAATATGAATGCAGAATTTAAGAGGGTAAAACATCAGTGTGCCAGTATGTTCAAACTTCAAAACTCTTTTTCTTTGTGATTGATAAACAAGGTTTTTGAGGTTGTTCTACAATCTTTAGCTTGAAGTGTAAATCATTTATATTTTCATATAATGTATTTATAGTACAGCAAATACGTTTCGACTAAATAAAAAAATATATAGCAAAATCTGATTTGAGCTTAGGTAATTAATTCAAATTACTTTTGTTAATTGGATTGTCAATTGGTACTTAGTAAATGGAAGTGATTTAAACCACGATTTATTACGCTTTAAAATCACGTTGAGCCATTTTTACCGCCATTTAACCATTCCTGGTGATTCCCAAATGGTGCTCATATATTTTCGCCAGTGTGCACTCATCTGGCGGGGCGGAGACTGCAAACAAATTGCGACTAATGCCATGTTTCGCATCGATTCTTTTAGTTTTCCTGGCGTCAGTGTCGCAGGCCAAAACCTTGGGTTACGATGCCGCTGCCGATCGCAATTTGCTGGCCGCCGATCTCTACAATGCGGTGGGCGCCGATCATCTGAACGAGAATCTGGTCATCTCGCCGGCAACGATCCAGAGCTCCATGGCGTTGGCCTTCGTGGGGGCCAAAGGTCAGACGGCGACGGAGCTGCAGCAGGGATTGCGCCTTGGGCCCGGTGATGCGGATGCGGTGAGCCAGCGGAGTGGTAGCCACCAGCAGTCCCTAACCCGCGACAACAACTTCCGCCTGGCCAACAACATCTACATCAACGAGAACCTGGAGTACAAGGGATCGTTCCGGGACGTGGCCCAGCGCCAGTTCGACTCGACCATCGACAAGCTGGACTTCCATCCGCCGTACAACAAGCGCACGGCGGACGGAATCAACCGGGTGGTGGCCACCAAGACGAATGGGAAGATCACGGACATCCTCCGCTCCGAGCTGCTCAACGATCGCACCGAGGGAGTGATCGTGAACGGGGTCTCCTACTCCGCCGCCTGGCAGAAGGCCTTCCGGCTGGACAAGACCGAGAAGCGATCCTTCCGCACCGGAAACGGGCAGTCCGTGAAGGTGGACACCATGTGGACCCTGCAGAACTTCAACTACGCGGAGGTGAACTCCCTGGACGCCAAGGTAGTGGAGCTGCCCTACCAGAACCCCGACTTCTCCATGCTCCTGTTGCTGCCCAATCGCAAGGACGGCTTGAGATCCCTGCAGCAGTCGCTGTCCGGCAAGAATCTTCTGGCCGAGATCGGGGCGATGAGCCAACACAAGGTTGAGGTGCTGCTGCCCAAGTTTAGCGTCACTTTTGGAGTGGGCTTGGAGGGACCTTTCAAGAAGGTGAGTACGACTCGATCTGGTATAGTGCCTAATCGAAATATCAGTTGACTTATGCAGTTTCTTGTAGTTAAAAAAATATTCGTTTATGTTAACATTTGCTTGTTTTAAACATGATTGAAATTTGATTCCAAGATTTACTTCTGTGGCCTTGTTTTGGCCAGTATCTAACATGTCAACAAATTATTCATTTTGTTTGGTATTGCAGTTGAGAGTATTCATAGTGCTAATTAAATTTATTAAGCACTAAATCTGCTAATGAAAGTTCGTACAAAATATTTTTAGTTACAGACGGAATTGTTTCAAATTAAAAAAAAAAAACTACTAGTAAAATATTTTAAAATTTGTTTAACATTTCAAAATTAAGCTTGTGAGGCTACTAGATGCTGTTATATCTTTTTTCTAAAAGTTTATTCAATTTAATAAGAAATGATGATAATGAATGATTTAAAATGTTTATTTGTTTATTTTAAGAAACTATTATATTTTTTATTTATTACTTCTATATTAAGTTGATAATTACGACTTCTAAACCTATTTTAACTTGTTTTAAATTAGTTGGGCGTCCACACCATGTTCTCGAGGGACGGCGACTTTGGCAACATGTACCGCATGTTTGTTAGCCATTTTATCAACGCAGTGGAGCACAAGGCCAATGTGGAGGTCACTGAAGCGGGTCTTGAACAGCCCCTGGAAACTGGCTGTAAGTAGTTAGCTGTGTTGCCTTGAGTTCTTGACTAAATGAATTTTGTTCTCTTTAAAATCAGTGCTAAAGGGCCTCTTCTCGCGTTCCAAGAAGTTCGAGGCAGATCATCCGTTTGTGTTTGCCATAAAATACAAGGACTCGATCGCCTTCATCGGACACATTGCCAACTATGCTTATGTCTAAAGCCAACTTCTGAAACCGTGTTTAATATTCTGTTAACTATTTTGATTATAACACGCTCAAAAAAGAAGCAAAATAAAAGCTAAATGCAAAATGCCAATAAAGTTTATTTATGGTCACTTTTGACAATAGATTCATCTCAGATGCTTAAGATTGTAAAGCACAGAAAAACAAGTTTTATAAAATCTAATGAAAGTCCTGTTAGGCATCTCAAACCTCCCAAAAATGTATACAAATTTGATTTTGATTCAATCCGGGCATGGCACTCACCTTTCTAGCTCCACGGGCATTTGATTTGGGTTATCCATGTTTGAGAGGCGGAGAATATATCCGAGGTTCTTATCGCTGGCGTTTTATCAGCTGTTGTCTTTTGCCTTTGTTTTTTGCCTGATTTGCATTCATAGGTATTTCACTGGTGACACTAGGGGAGGGGGTGCTGCCTTTTGGCATTATTTATATTTATTATCTTATTTTGTGGTTTCTCGGCTGACTGCGTTGTGGTTGTTTCCTTTAATCGCGCACATAAATCAACAAAAGCCGAACAAACTGACAACAATTTGAGCTTAGGCGTATTTATTATTTCTTGGCGCGCTCGTGCAAAAAAAAATTTTTGCGGAGTGCCTGTCGATATTTGCGGCACCAGCGGAAACTGGTTCGCACACCGAATTAACTTTGGCTATGGTCAGGCCCGATCTTGCGGCCTAATTGTATTTATGCATGTGGTTGGGGACATTCCGCAGGGGGGTGGGGCTGGTGACTGGCCATTTAAAATAATTGATGCACATTTCCAGCGGCCGCTTAAGAAAACACAGACACTGCAGGCATTTCATTATTTTCCGCAAACTCCTTCTTTTGGCTACTGCACGCGACAGCTGCCCGATTTCTGGACTCCCGTTCACGTTCACCGATCCCCGGCACTTGATAAGCGCAAAGACGCAAAGACGCAAATGCGGAAAAACGCGGGGGCCGTCGTATAGCCGTTCCGTTCCGTTCCCTTGCGTTTCGATACGTTTCGATCCGAGCGAGCCGTTCGCGCATGCGCGCTGCCGAGAGTTGAGTAGTCGTGCGAGGCGCGCAGCAGACTGAAAGCCATTGACGATCGGCCCCAAAGACGAACTCCAAAAAGTGCCGAACTCCCCTGCTGGTCTCGCTCTCTCTCCCTCTCTCTCTTTCGTGGCGCTCTCTCTCCGCTCGAATACCGGTAATCCAAAAATAATGGGTGCAGATCCGGGCAGATATCTTTCTGCAATTGTAATTTCTGTTCGTCCCTTTGTTAGAACCGCTCGGTTGCCCCCGACAAGTTTTCTTTGTTTCTTCGCCTTGTGAGCGGAATTTTAAAGAGCCTAACCCGAAAGGGGGAAGACTTGCAGCAGGTGCATGGTGCATGGTGTATGGTGCATGCGCTTTTAAAACAAAAGCCACAAGTGCTGCCCCTTCCATCGCGAGGGCAATGGAAACTTGTTTCCCCGCAAACTGACAGTTCATTTAGCTAATCCCAGATCCTAGCATCCGGGAGTAATCATGCGATCTTCTTCAGCCTCTACATAACGTGTTCTATGTTATATAATATTTAAATTATTTATTATCCTCTGTTCCTGTTTTCAATATAAATGCATAATTTTTCAATTGGTATTTCATTTCAATCGAATTATGGAAAAACAACAAAGATAAATCTAAAGAAAACAAAAAATATTATTAATTACAATTCCACTTAATAAGCTTAAAATGGAACTAGGAACGGTTGCCTTCTAAATATTCATGCAGTGAAATGATTTATGACCATAAGCTTGTTTTATTTTCTTAATAATTTTAAGGCTATATGAATTTTTAAGGCTCAATACATTCAAACAATTTAGAAAACCCGTTTGAAAGTGTCTTCAGTACTTGATTCCTAGAAATAATTGGAAGGTAAGAAGTTTTTTGGAAAGGAAAGATTTTTATAACTATAATTTTACTGTCATTGCACTTAACCTTTTTTAGCTCCGAAGTCCATTGGAAAAAGTTAAGGTGCGACAGTGCATCCAGAAGTCGTTAATTATATTCGGTTATGTTCTCCGACTCTTTCTGCTTAATTTTGGGGTCGCACGTTCTGTTTGTCATTTTCGAGTTAAATATTGCAATTGTCTTCGATGGTTTTCGGGGTTTTATATGCTTCTTACCCAAATGTTTATTTTTGGCTTAAGCGCTGAGAGACCACCAAGTTAAAGTTTATATTATGAGCTATCTCCGTGTACTTAACAGGTTTCTTGTGACTTGCATATCTGATACCCAAATACACCCGTAATTGGATTTTTACCATAACTAATGAATTTGAATCGCCTGTCAACGGAGGAGAGCAGTTCATTCTGTCCAATCATTCCCACATCTAAGGCTTTCTTAATCGGTCGACGAGGAAATGGAGATCCATTTGGTTAAGATCTTGGTTGTGGCATTGGCCGCTCTTGAATTTCCCAGAGCTCATGCTCATGACTTAACGTCCCATTGTGTCGCGTGTCCAGATGAATTCAAGGGGCAATTGATCTGCGCCTTTCTCAACGGCTGCCACTTGGAAATGGAGTACTGTTCCATGCTGGTGTTGAACTGTGGCCGTTATCTGCATCGTAAACACAGTGAGGATCCCACTTTTAATGTGATTAGATGACCGAAATTAACCTGATCTACTTTCAGTGTTCCTGGTCAAGAACATGGGAAAGTGCGAGGCAGTTCGGGGATACAAATGCAAGTTTATGGATTTCTAAATTCTGGCGGAGGTTATCCGCATTTATTGATGTATGGAATGATTACAGTTTAAAGTGCTTAATCTGAGTGAATGTGTGATGATGTGTTGATTAAAACTTGACGATATGTCCTGTGAAATATACAGCGTGTTTGTCGCGAATGATGAACACAAACGGATGATCGGCCACAAAGGTCTTTGGGTCCAGAGGCAGGGACATGGGCACCCCAGCAGCATCTAAGGGGGGATGAAATGGGTGGTAGTTACATCTGGAAATTTCGGAACACCCCATGACTTACAACTGACGCCAGCCGCCTCGCATCCGATCTCGTTCACGTCGATGAAGGTCTTGTGCTGCACTTTGGTGATCCGAGTGCCGATGGGCGAGTCCTGGAAAATGTTGCTGAAGTCGGCTGCATCCGAGAACATGGCACTGATTCCCATCTAAAAGTTGAGATTCAAAGGAATATTCTACTACCGAACGAATTTCATACAAGCTAATACTTAAATATTAGGGCAATACTTAAAAGGAATTTTCTTTTTAATCCTATACAACTTTTAGTTATAATACGACTTGGAAAGAAATATGTTTTAAGGTTTAATTTTCCTTAAATGATATTTCGCTTACCATATTTTCTTGAAATTTGCACTGCAATGCTTTCTTCATTAAGAAAACAATATATAAGAAGTTGTAATTGCACTCAAGAGGGAAGTATTTTACAATTACCCAAAAAAATTAACCAAAAATGAAATCACTATATTCTAAGACTGGATTTTAAGTCTTTAAGATTGCTTTTAAACTTCGAAATGGTTTGGACTTGCCCATTCTAAAATCTACAGTAAGATAAATACAAGAAAATGGCCCTAAAATCACAAAATTATGCAATTTAAATCAACATTCAGCTAACCACAAAAACCAGAAAACGACCCAAAGATCTTTTAAATGCCTGATTTATCTAAACAAGAGTAAAGTCTCTTTTTGATGGGCCCAAATCTAAATATTTAAATTGAGAGACCCCTAAATAGTTCTAGGCCCTAGCTCTTTCCTTTTAAGATCGTATCTCCCCCTGGAATATCAATATAACCTCTCACCTTGTTCAGCGTGGGTCGGAGATCCGTGTCGAACTCGAACTTGAACTTGGGCAGGTAGACGGAGACACTCTGCCACTGCCAACGCTCCTCGAGCAGCTTGAAGTCGACGCCCTTGAGCTTCTGCTCCAGGGTCTGCAGACCGGAACGCTGGTTGGGCAGGATGAACCACATGGTCAGGTTGATGTTCTCGAAGAACAGCTCGATGGCCTTGGCGTCCAGCTCCGGATAGTCGGCGTAGTAGTACCAGTTGTCGGCGAACATCGTGGGCACCTGAATGGACTGGCGTTCACTTAGCCAGAACTCCCGATCCCGGGTGTCCTCGTCGTTGAAGGGTCGTGCCCAGCGGGCCTTGAAGTAGATGGCATTGACCAGGGCCACATTGGTATCCGGCTCCAGGCTGTCCACCACCCGTTCGATCTTGTCCTGCGTCTGCTGCTTGACCCACCGGTTGATCCGCTCCACGGCCTCCGTTTCGCGGCTAAAGTCCAGGGGTTCCACCTCGGAGTCGAAGTACTTTTTGGCCACCTCGCGGAAGTGATTCGATACCTTTAGGTTCTCCCTGGTGTACACCTTGTTGGCGATCTCCAGCACGGTCTTGGACTTGATGTAGGAGTGGAGCAGGTTGTGGTAGCTCTCGGCCAGACCATCCTTGCTCTCCTTGGCGGAGGCATGCAACGTTTTCTGCAACTCAGCAGCGGTTCTACCCTCAGCTCCGTAGTAGGCCAGACCAAGGGCCAGCTGGATGGAAACCGGCGATATGATCACGTTCTCATCCTGACGATCCGTGGCCAGGGTTTGGAAAAGCTCCGTGGCGAACAGATTCCGCTCTTGGATTGTATTTCCATGCCCACCAGGTGCGGATATCAATACCCCAAGAAGAATAGCTAGGAGAATCGAAAGAGATTAGATTTTAGGAGGGGTCTTAAGCGATCTTTGGGGTCGAGAGCTCACTGCTTAGCCAGTGGATCATTGCGCCTGCGTCGACACCTCGAGACTAAAAGTGAAATGGCCCTGCCACCTGTCATTTATAGCCGCCCGTTGGCCAGGAATCCAGACAAAGCCACGCTAAGAACGGCGTCGACTGAGGCAGCGACTGCGACTGAGCCTGATGCGCTTTGCATTACAAGCAGCACCAAAGTAAAGCCGTACAAAAGGAAAGGCTGGATTTACCGACCGAGATTAGAAATACCCTTGTATAACGAATGACATGTGCAATATTTTATCGTAAAGATTTAAAAAAAGGGGATTTTAAACGAATTAGTAACTAAAAACTGTTCTGATTTTATTCAGAATATTAATCTGCATTTGCTATATTATTATTTTCCTCATCTCAAAATACTTTACGAAAGATAAAAGGGATAAAGTTTTTGTAAACAACTATATTGTTTGAATCGCAATATTTTTGAGAACTATATGTTCTGTTTACATTTGTGTAATGTCTATTGGCATTAAAACGTCCCACAAAGTTTTAAAAAAATGAATAATTGTCGCTGCCACAAATAGTTTATAATAGCCATATAAGAAAAAGTTATAATATAAGAATGTACGAAAAACATAAGACCGCAGTCAACAATTAAAATTCTTTTTATTAAAGAGCAAAGAAAAAAAGAAACAAAAATTTAAAAAGAAGAAACATATTACGTTTTGTAGACCATATGAAATATACTATAAGTAATGTTTACGCTCGGCATATATAGTGTATAGTATAAAAATAAATAGTGCATAAATGATTTGATATAAAAACCTGACCCTGTCTGAAATAGAAATACTCCTTATTGTAGGGTATAAAAAAGAAAGAAAGAAAGGAACTTTGAGGTGGATTGGGTTCTTAACCCGAGCACCTGGTAATACTGGGAAGAGTCTCAGCAGGCGATCTTTTCCTCTCTCTGCGATCGCTGGAGCATTCTCTATCTTTCTGTTTCTCCAGCTCTCTATCTCTCGGCCTCTCCTCTCTCCTCTCTCTCTTTCTCCGAATCTCCGGTGGTGCACTTGAGTTTATTTCGTTGCCCTCGCCTTTTGCACTTGTTGCCCACCTCGCGCCTCGAGTGGCCGCCTTGGGATTTACTCTGCTGTCAAATTATTTACATGCATGCTTGGACCCAGCGCTAAAGCCAGAAAGCAAGGGGGGTTGGAGTGGGGCAGGGGAAGGGGGGAGGGGATGGAGCCCTGAGATCGGGATTGCATTAACATTAACTCTAATTTTCCGTTTACGGACACGAACCAAAATGTTCAGGTTTTATGGCCTTTGTATTTAATGAGTTATTTTCGTATTTGTTTAGATAATGCGTCCATAAACAAAAAGCAGCGGGGAAAACAAACAGCATTGCGCATAAATTGTTTATCGGGCTTGGAGTTATCACCACCCCACCTCCTTATTCCAATTAACGGCAGCACGCACACACAAATTTACGAAATTCATGAAACTCGGAAATCGAAAATCGAAGTGAAATCCCAGCAGGCTCAGGTGAATGCTTAAAGACCCCAAGAAGATAGCCAATTTTGTATCATCATCAAAGGCCTGGAACGGGGAATTATGGTCCAGGCCGAACTCTCCCGCTGATTTATCAAAAGTCCCGAAATTCGCCCAGGTTATTTATGCACATTTTGTGTGAAATGCTAATAAATTTTAATGGAATTTTAAAAACATGCTTTATGGACCCGAAACGGCAGACTCCTCCTCCTCTCCCTTAAAAAAAAAGTAAAAGAAGCATCAGAAGCACAAGGAAGCCTCCTTTTGTAAGGCTCTTCCTCGGGTGTCATAAATTGGCAGCTTCCGTGGGTTATTGTGGCTGCCGTTGCTTTGACTGATGGCCTCCTTTAGCCCCACCGATCTTGCATAATTACGATATAGATATAAGGAGCAGAATCGAAGATCGAGGAGCTGATGGCAGCATTACAAAGCACAAAAACGAAACGCTTCAAACACTTTCAATCGGCGGCTGGGGGCTTGGGGCCTGCCATAAAAGCACAAAACCAGATTCGGCTTAACCTTATATAATTTACAACTACCAGTGTGCAGGAGTCCCAGTCTGAGTGTGAGTGTTAGTGTGAGTGTGTCCTGTCTCCTGGCAACGACCGAAGAAGCGCTGCTGATGCTGACCGTTCTGATTGAATGATTTCACTGATCGAGACAAAACATGTTAAAGATCGTGAGATGCCGGGCCGCAAAAGCTCTTTGGCAGCGGCTCTTGTCTCTCCAGATACACACATCTGCCGGGGAGAGGGGAAGGGACCCAAGCAGGACACTGAGCAAAAAAAGCCCAGTTTCATAAGTTTACATGTCCACTTCAGTTTGAGTTGCCTGTTTCTAAAAGGTTTTTTGTAAAAGATTTAAAACCTCATCGTTTTTATTATTTTTGTTCGTTAGCATTTATTTCCAAACTTAATTTTGGGTGTACTAGTAAAACATTCAGGGCTCTGTGCAGACAGTCCATGATATGATTGATCTGAGTTACATAAAATAAGATAATTACGTTTACAAATTAATAAAAACGAGTTCTTCAAAACGAAGATTTAATATGGTGCATTAAATTTAACATTTTTAATTAAAATTAGAGGGAAGTTCTTAGGCACAAAGAATTAACATGGGGTTTCAGATGTTTATCATCTAAGATTAAACAATTACTAAATAGTGAATGGTTTATGTTGACCTAATCGACCATCTTATTTTAGTTTATACATATATTCCTGCATTTTTTATAAAAATAGGAGTAAGATGGGCCTATCTCCGAGTTCTTCAGCTAAAGAAGGTTTACCCAGTATTCGCTTAATGCGATTAAAGCAAAAGTAATATTATTTAAAATAATTCCATCGTGCCACAATAATAGTTGTAGTTTGTATTATTAGATTAGACTATGTTCCTCTATTATAAATGTGTAGTTGTAATGTGTGATTCAAATTTTTGACTAGCCTTAAATTAATGAAGTCTTAAATATATTATTTTTCTTAAATTTCTTTTTTAACCACGTTACCAAACACATTTAAATGTTAAAATTACATTTTTAAATGGAGAAAAGACAAATATATTTTTGAATACCTAAATCAACAAATAATAATTAAAGTGCAATCTTTGATAGAGCCGAGAATTAAT